GATCTGAAATCAGGTAAACCGAAAAAGCATTCCAGACTCCTATTCGGGTGTGAGAGTCAATCTGATCTGAAAACAGGTAAACAGAAAAAGCATTCCAGGATAGAAAACTTAAGGTATTTTTTGTCTGTTTAAACTGTTTAAAAGGCAATGTAACGCCCCCCAGCCCCCCCAGTGATTGCATGAAAATCCAAAGATTCAGTTGTGGCCCGATGTCAGAGGTCTAGGGGACATTTCCAAAACAGATGTGCCATGCGTGTATAAGAAAAAAAGGAAGTTACGACCGACGTGTAAATATACGCACGTTTATTTATTATAGGAAGAAAGGAATGAAAACAACATTGTCGATAAAACCGCGGAGAGACATTTCCACACTAGGGGTAAACATGGAGGAGGATATGTCGAGGTTGACTGCTTGGGGGGGGGGTCCCTGGTTCCTGCTAGGGAGTCTTTATACAATCCCTGCCTTCCCAGTCAGGTGGCGGCTGTTTGTGACTCTGAGCTGTTTATTCAAGTTTAAATTTATCACAGCCAGGGCAGATGACGTTTCTCTGGAAAAATACTGGGAGGACCTCTTGGCTTTGCCAGCCGCTCGTTCAAAATGAGTTTTACGCCCCAGTGTCTCGCTGACGCGGATTCAGGAACGATTGCGTGCGAAAGATGTGGCTCCATGTGTTTTATATACAGCAGGCGACACAGCTGTTTACAATGTCTGCTGGCTGTCATTCTGTGCTGTGAAAAAGGGATTTACTCATTTATAGATTTAAAGGGCTGTGGGTGGGATTCACAGAAGGGGCCCCTTTGCAAAGAGAATTCCTGCTGTCTTAGTGGAATGAAAATGACTTTAGATCCAAATGTGTTATAACAAAATACCTCTGCATATGTGAGCTTCGTAAGCAAACATTAAAAAAAAAAACTTCAGACTCTCTAAAAGCACTCAAATTATTTACCTTTTCAGTTAGGATTTTAAGATTAGGCGTATAGATCTTCTTCATAAAGACTACACCTCTGTTTTTAGAAATTACCGACTATTTCATGATGAATTACAGGAGTACTACCCTACTTGGCACTAACTACCATAATCCAAGTCAAGCTTCGTACTGGGACTGCCAACTCGAGGGCCCTGTACGATTTGCACCTCGTTATTTCTTCTGCACATCCAGTACTCACGATCGTCACATCGCGGGCAGCCGTCCCTTTTTTACTGCTGAAACAAAACTGCCCCGAGACACGGTCGCCCTTTGAGAGCCACTGCGAAGCGACGTGAAGTGCGAAAGAACTTTATTTTCTCAGACAGCAAAAAATCAATACAATAGTCTCAACGCAACAATGACTATTGTCAGTTGATTTGTTCTGACAGGCATTGCGGAATGCCGTATCCTACATGTTAATGAAAGGATTCCATTGTTCTTCCCTTGATGCACCACTGTTATTTTATATTCATTTTGTTGAAATGTTAATTTTCCGGTAAGTTGTATTTTCCGATGAATTCATCAAAAGATAAAGTTTCCCTAAAGGATGGGGCGGATCGCTGTGTGTGTGTGTGTGTGTGGGGGGGGCTGTTTCTGTCACTGAATTTATAGTTTGGGGTAGCGGAATAAGCATCTCGGAGGGCTGATCTCCTTCCAGGACTTGGCGGTAGGAATATATTATATTAAGGAAAAAAATATTAATACACAAATCGCTCATCACGTAGCTAGTGATTTGGAGTGGTGGGTAGCTGTTATATTCTGTACAAACCATGTATAATTATATGCATATATACAGGAAGGATGAAAATAGATTCGCAGAAACTCATGGAACATAAAAGCAACATTAATTGTTTTCAATTTGTACGTATTTCAAATAAGAGAACATGGTCTATGTCATAACTATACTAAACTAAAATATGCACTAACAATTTTATTTTTTACTTTTTCATTCGGTAAATACATTGAAGAGTATGTGATTCCTTGTGAGTTTAGCGGATCCCAGGCACCATAATGTATAACCATGACCAGCAATTAATCGGTTCGATTATGAGCCATACGTGATAAAGACCGTTTAGTGTGTCTTGAGCATAAGAGTAAAAAAGAAAAGAAACGTATGACAAAAGCTCTTCATCTTAGCCTGTTTGCCTTGTTTCTTAAGTCCAAAGATGTCTGATGATTGGTACTGACTTTAAAATGTTAAGTGTAAAATTTCTTTAAAGAAACACTGCCTGTACATTTTAACAATTGATCTCATCAGATGCGATATTTGCTTCTCACGATCTGGTCACTGTATTGTAACTGGAAGCAATATTAACTTTCTTACAAAAACTGAAATTACATGAAGCTCTATCCACGCCAGTTGTTGATGCAAATACACCGAAATACTAAGCAGCCGTACAGGCTGCCCAATCTGAAGGACGTCAGTGGTTAAACATTTGAAAGTAACTGAAAAGCTGGCTTCTTGGACAGCACCCCCCGGTCGTTTTGGATATTTCTTTATATTTGCTCATTCAGGGGTGAACCGATGGTTCGCATAGTTTTTGGGGGCGCTACGATCACCTCCCCCGGTTCATGCTTTGTCCTGGTCTCAGCCAAGTGAGCGTTGGTGATTGTGGCACACTACAAAGGAGACGTCGGTAGCGGAGCACACAAGTAAGCGGCATGTTTCCGTATTATTTAAAATAAAATTTGAGTTTAGATGTTTTTTCAGTGATATGGATTTGGCGTGCGGAAACCTATGCCTACGCTATATAAGCATAACATTATTGTAATTAACTTATGGCTTCGAATCTTATTTATTGCTTCACGTGAGGGTGCGTGCATTTTCGTGACATATAGACGAACGTTTAATACTAATCAGAAACTGTAGTGCTCGAAAAGTTCCACCTAAACAATATCTAAGACTGTATTTCGCACTTATACTAACTTCATACAACTTCAGAGTTACAATCTGCCCGCACGTGCTCACCCCCCATCATGATCTGCTCTGCGGCCAAAAAGAAACGTCTTGGCACCTTTTGGCTGGTAGATTTATATATAAAGCGAAGTACTTTATATCAATTACAATTCCCAGAACGACGCCCGTGCCTGGTCTGGTGCGCTAAGCTGAAGTAGGATGCTACATATATAGACTTTTCGGTGAAGTTGTTTACCGGAGAGACAGCGGATAATCGGTATTGTCCTTTAACTTTTCTGAGGACGATAATTAATATAATTCTAAGATGACTGTATGATCGCGCAGTTGAAGGCGTATATAGCCGCTCTTTCATTTATATCATTTTAATAATATTCTTCGGTCCGTTAAGAGCCACGTGTTTCCGTTCAGATTTCATCCAGAGTACTTTATTTGATCGGTTGATTCAATATAATCCACTTGGTTATTCGAAACAGCAGAATTTTTTTATATGTTATAGTTGCTCACTTTTGTATTTACGGATTCAAGTGTAGTACTAGAAACTCGATTGCGCTTGTTATTCTTAATCTCAGATATCCTACTTCTTCGGTTGACGGCTTGCTTATGCTGCTGTAGTGCAGCAAGTGTCCACGATGAATCACCCCGTAAAACGAATAATTCCATGCTCAGAGCGGCCATGTTTGTTTCCAAGTTCAGAAATCTTCAAGTGAATGACATGTGTGGTTAAGATTTACCAACAGGAGCAGCCCATACTCATAAAACATCGATGTGATTTTCAAAGGTATAGGTGCAGAAATGCCGATTTGTCGTTGCTCTGTGATTCACTTTTCTTGCACTGGAAGGGGTCCCACGACGTCACTGTACAGTAACTCCATTTATCCCTGGTAGAGCCTGCAATGCAAATTCGTAACCATATTTTTTTCACTATTTAGTAAGTTAGGATGCGTTTGAATTTACTTATAAAAAATGTACACTCCAACATTAAAGCCCAATTTGGCACAAATCTTTTGATGGAAGAGCTAATTAATGGAACACAAGCAGTTCATGCAACCATTTAAAGTATAATTTTGGTAGGCAGGTATTTAACCCTCCTTGCAATAAGTACGAACACAAGTAAAAAAAAAAAGAAATAAATACAGTGAGTAAATGTAAAACTAGAGTAGTTAATAAATTAAGTGAATGTAGAAACAATTGATATAAAACTTAAGTATAATTGCAGCGGTGTGAACATGCGGGATCGGCGGTGGCATTCTGATGTGATGGAACCTGCAATGGTGCTGGAGGATGGTGGTGGATTGACAGCACAGCTGGTGTCCAGAGAAGGAATCAAGCTGGTTGTGCATTGCATTATGGGATAGTAGCAAATGTGCCGATTCCAACGATTCAGAACCTCAGACAAGTGCCACATACCACACTGTCAGAAAGAGTTGTTTGTTTGTATCTTGGGGAATAAATATAACCAGGGCTGTCCTTTTTCCTGACAGTGCAAAAAGCAGAGAGGAAAGGGTTATGATTAAGAGATACAAAAAAAAAAGACTAACACAGACCGCAAAGTTATATTTGGTATTCTGCTGTCATATAAACTGGAAGGCATTATTTTGGATACCATGCCTGTTACACTGGGTGCCATCACATGGATAACATTCATCAAATTTTCATTATTGCTTTAACACGGGATACAAAGCAAAGGACAGGATTATGAGGGCAAAAGTAGCTGAAAATACGCATATTTCACTCTTAAATGAGGTGCAAGTCAGCAGCAGGCCATTAGCGCAGCGGACAGAGCGTCAGCCTCGTGTCTAATGTCCCCTGTCACCTCTAGCAATAACTTAGCACACAGTTTTCCAGTAAGGAGACTGAGTTGGGATTTTTCACACATTGCTAGCTTCTTTTGGGGGGGGGGGGGAATTAATAGCCTAGAGTGAGATTTCAGGCATTGAACATTTTTTTTGCATATCAGAAAATAGTTTTTTAGCCTCTGTTTCAGCACCATGTGACCCAGCTGTCCCTTGCAGCTGCAGATACCTGAGCGATAACAGACATCCTGACACGCAGCTTGTGCGAGTTTTAAGAAGAGCGCATATACATGAGCCAGTGTGATGTGCTCTCTGCTCGTTTCCATTCTGCCTTGTTTTTTCTCTTTATTTTGCGAATAAACAGAAAGGTATTTCCAAGCGTATTGTTGTGTGAACGTAAGCGTCTGCTTGTCTGTGGTGCTGAAAGCACGCTGCTGCTCATTGCTGGGGACCTTTCCATGCCTCACGTAGACCCAGAGATCGGTGCCACATTAGGGCCTAAAATCCACATTTTGTCACACGCCGTACAGAAGGCAAACGTTGCAGTTTCCATTTATCAGTTCAGTTTACATTCCTGCTTCAGTTTCAGCTTGTGTTCCCAGGTGCTGCTTTTGCTCCTATTCAGTTTTGATATGGTGTTTCATAGTATTTTGGGACTTTCCAGCTTTTCCTTCTTCCAAAAACACCAATTTTTTGGTTGATCTGAAGAGTGCTTTATCAATTCCCACTGCCCGCTGCAGCAATAACAAGGTGATTTTTCTTTGAGGCTTAAGTAGAGCATGTGGGATCTTTCATCATTATAGTCTTGGTCTGTCAGAGGCTGGGATGTGTTTACATGCTGGCTTTTTGTCCGGTATGAATGCAAAACCCAAAAATTGGTGCTCATTTATAAATGTATTAGTAATACATACTTTAGTGATCCTTGTGGGGAAATTGTCTTTACACCTCCCTCAACTTAGTCTTTGTAGAGTGAGCTGTCCACAAAGGGCAGCCACCAGTAGCAATACCCAGGGAACTGGCAGTTAAGGGCCTTGCACAGATGTGCTGAGGTTGGGTTTGAACCGGCAACCTTGTGGTTACAGGCACACAGGCTTAACCCACTGAGCCACAGGCAGGTTATTTATGAAGCACTGATGTCCTGTATTGGAGTGGCGTTCCATCCAGGGGGTGCCTACCTCAAGTTACATATTTCCTGGAATAGGGTCCAGGCCTGCAGTGATTCTGCACCAGCTAAGTGGTTATTGATAATGGTTGGATGAACAATACATGAATGCACAAATTGATCAAATCAGACATGGTATGTGACCTACTGCTCTCTCTACTGGTCAGCATGGAGGTAACATGTTGTTCATGAGACTTTTCATGAGGTGATCTATTTCTGGATCTGCTGGTCATCTCGTGCACCAGCTCACATACACAGGGGCAGCTTAGTAACCCAAAACCAGGAAAAGGTCCTGTGTTGGGGAGCAATTTTGGTTGGTGGGACCAAATGTAGCTGGACTTTGGACATGGTACTCCCACTTCCTTCCCCAACTTAACTCCTAAGCAGAACTACTGAGTGCTGCAGTGATACAAAACAAACCTATGAATTTAAATCCCAAGAGGTTCTTGTGTCATCTGTGGTGTATAAATGTGACAGCTATGCTTTGTCCTCGGGGCTTCAGGTCATAAACACCTGTGTCCTGTTTGCTTTGTAGCTTTTTGGGGTTGTGTAAACAATGAGTAAAGTTTCATCCGTTTAAATGCATTCGTAATATGATCCTGGAAGTTTAACCAGAACAGTATTCAAATCCGCCCAAAGCTGTGTAAATTATGGCTGGGCATTGGGACAGATGGCCCAATTCGATTTGATTCAATTCAGTCTGATTCGATTCAGATTCATAAGCTAACGCTTCCATTTAATCTGATTCATTTCAATTCCAATTCATAAGCTGACGCTTTGATTCAATCTGATTCTGTTTAACAATAAATACCATATAACCATAAAAATATCCATAAAAACATGATTATTGCACACAACTTAGAAGTAAATTATCATCTTCTGGACCAGTTGGAAAACAAAGCCATTGAGGATAAATTCACTTTTAGAGTTGTTGCCTGAAAAAGAAGTCCTGACTGACCAATAATAACCTTTGGCATTCAGGGTTCTAAGAATGTTTAGCTATGATTGGTGCCTTGTAATACGTGTTTGTGTATTCCCTCTGATGTGGAGATAGTACCCAGCGTATTGTAAAAGCAGAGAGTAGGAACCACCAATACACACTGCATGTCGCAAGTCTAACCCTAAGCCTAACCCTAACCCTAAGCCTAACCCTCTTAAGGTGAAAACTTATCAATACTGCCTGCTGTGTACAGAAACACGGGAACATATTTTTTTCCATCTGAACGTATTTTGGCCCAAGACAGAGCTTCTCTCCCCTCGGACTTTGGTTGCAGCGCAGTGATGCATCTGGAGTTGATCTTTAATGGGAAGCAGATGCCATACAAATGGGTTGTGGTTGTTCTGTTTGGCTGTCTGTTCCAGGCAGAACGTTACTGCTGTTTTATTTTATTTTAAAATGTCTGTTGCATGGGAATAACAACACTCTGCCCTGAGCACTGTGTGTTTAACTTAATGGGAATTTCATAATGCAGCCAACCGTATCTCATATTAAATAGTCACTCACCCAAAAAATACATACTAGATTGATTAAGAAAGTAAGATAAAAGGTAACAATGATGCCTTATTTTTATTGGTCAAATTGTGGCCTCAGGTCAAACATGCCCTATATGGTTATGGGCTCAGTGGTACTGAATAAGTGCTTTAATAGTCAAAACACATGGAATGAGGAACAGTCCAGGGCTTTCCTGATTGCAAAGATTAATGTCTGTGTTGACCAATAGCGGTTAACTTGCACAACCATGGAACGATTCATTGGGGTAAATAAACTAATCGTAATTCTCAAAAAGTTCAGGGTATTTTCCAAGCCAAATATGAGCCCTCGCAATCGTAACTTCAGAAAGTGAGGTAAGGTATATGTGGAACGCTGTACAATAGATAACATACATCCTCATTTGAGAAAAGACGGGGGCTGTCCCCCCCCCCCCCCGCTTCACGTTCAGTGCCCCATGTGGAAGGAATAGATTACCAAAGCTGCAGTGGTCTGTGACATCCGTATCAGCGGCGGAAGTCTCTGGCTGGTGTAATTCAGCTGATAATTAGCTACCTAAGCATATTTGCACGCCAGATTCAAATGTGAGAGATTTTGCTCGTATCAGAATGACATATCTCCAGAAACAGTGCGGTCCAGTTGTTTTCTTATCGGTGTTACATTTTGAGCAAGAGTGTCTAGACGTATGGTTTCGTAGCTGGATGTGATGCAAAGCTGGCTTGGGTGAGGTGTATATCACGGAGGATTGAGTTTATAATGTGATTCATTTCCACTTGGACCATGTGTTGTGGTATGATGTGTGTCAGCACCAACAGTGTATGCAGTCAGTCTGACCGCTCACATTATTGTGGCAACATTTGTATCTGGTTGTAGTGGTCTTCAGTCGTGCTGGCCCTCCGTACGCTCATGCACGACCTAGCATTGAGGACCTCAAATCCCCAGTGTTTTTTCTGCAACTCCAATAATCATGATCCTTTATGTTGCACACCTAGGAAGGGGTAATACTTTTGACCTCGATATTTTTAAAATTTTGGTTACGGCCCTGCATACACCTTTCACAAAAGTTCCCCTTTTTTCATTTTTCATGGCCTACGGTCTGATTGTTATGTGTTCAGTTAAACAGAAGATGGGAGCACCTAAGCGGAGTGTGGATATCCCAGAATGCTTTGCAGACAGAGTGGATATCCCAGAATGCTTTGCAGACAGGGGCATGATCAGAAGAGCAGCTGCCACCTGCTGTGACAGTGGGTGAAATAGAAAAGCAGAACTCAGAACCCTCTTCCTGGCTGGTTAGGAGATGTAATGGGTCCTACCACCCTGAGCTTGGGGGGGGGGGGGGGGCGATAGTTATAATATTTTATATTATAACATTATAACATTATAATATGTTCCTTGTCTTGGTTTCTGCTTGAAATGACACTGACCGTCATTTAATATAACATAATGTGAAGCCGATTTTATCAAAATCGGCTCAATGTAGTAATGATGCCACAAATTATAGTGTCTCAGTGGTTGGTTATAATTCAGTCTTCTGGTGTTCCCTGAATATTATGGGATGAAATAGTCAATTAGTTTCTTATTAAATTGACAAAAGAGGATGGGAGTTTATATATCTGTTCCATTATTTTAAACTGCCCTAGAAAAAAGGGCAAATTCTGCTGAGAATTTTTGCAGGAACTACTGTTACAAAAGGGCAGGAAGCATGTCCAGCCTGAATGCGTGGCGTGCCTGAGCCCAGCCCCCCCCACTTCACACGTCAGTCTTATGAGCGATGCACTCTACCCTCTCCTCCATATCGGCCTGCTTAAGTGACTCTGTCCCTTTCAGAAACATCAGCCTGACGCTCAGAATATGACAATGACAGCCAACGGTCCTCGAGACAAGTGAGTTCATTTCACTTTTTATATTACTGAAGAAAGCTTTATTTTTGGTTGATTCCTAAAAACTCTTTAAAGGCGCTCTTCAGTCCTGTGCTGCCTCTTCCCCAGGTACAATGCTGTTTGGATTATCTTTTTCATCCTTGGCTTGGGAACTCTTCTACCCTGGAACTTCTTCATAACAGCCACCATGGTAATCTTAGGCTGCTCACACACATCCCCGCCTGGGGGGGGGGGGGTGTAAAAACTGCAGATGCGTCCCAGTTATGCTCACGTGCACCAGCATCCAATCAATAGACATCATGACTGATGAGGGGCCTTGAGAGCCTGGCATGGGGTGGGAATGAGCAGTAATAGATTGGGGATGAACCCCTCAGTCTGGACCCTTGAGGCTAAATGCATCGTCTTTGTCCCTTCAGTACTTCACTTCTCGGCTGAGTTGTTCCAACAATGTCAACATGACAGTCAATGGGACTAAGACTGGGGACCACAATATCCTACAGTCTACGTTCAGCAACGTGATGACACTCTGTGCCATGGTTCCTCTGCTCATCTTCACCTGCCTCAACTCCTTCATTCACCAGATGTGAGTCTCTGAAATGTGCCATAACATGTTTGCTAATCCCCTCTGAGCAATGCTTAAGTGCTATTTAGTGGATAAAATTGTCTTAAAGGCATGAGGTTTTTATATGAAAGAAGAGATGTATTAAGTCATTTTGCATTCTAAATACAACTGGGAGTCATGACTAAGCTAAATATCAAACAATGCTCTCTTTAGCTTCTGAGTTATTCATGGAGCAGTTTCCAGGAAGAGTATATTCATAATCATGCTTATGCACATTTTATTTGATGGCCTTTGTCCTCCACACCTAGAAGTGTTGACCGGTGGTTTTCTGGTTCCAGCATTCCACAGAAGGTGAGGATTCTGGGAGGGTTGACTGGCATTCTCGTCATGTTCCTGGTGACGGCCATACTGGTGAAGGTGGAGATATCCCCTCTGCCCTTCTACGTGATCACCATGATTAAAATTGTCTGCATCAACTGTGAGTGTCCCTCTCCCAGCCCAGTGTGCTGCACGTCTCCCAATGCTTCCTTAAATTAGCCCCATATTCTGAGAAAGTCTCAGCTTCCCATGGTTTCTTCAGCTTTCCAGCTACATTGGAGGTCATTTTGGCTTCAAAGAACAAGCAGCTTTGATGTATATATTGAGTTTTTTCTTGTTAAGAAGTTTTGATGGGGAGGGGATTCTTCTTGCAGTGTCCCCATGACCTGGTCGGCTTTCAGGCCATTTCCGGAATGTGAGAATGTTTCTGCATCGCTGACCCGTGTCACCCCAACCCCACGATCTAGCGTTCGGGGCCATGCTGCAGGGAAGCCTGTTTGGCCTGGCAGGCATGCTGCCTGCATCCTACACCACGCCCATCATGAGCGGACAGGGTCTGGCTGGGACCTTCGCAGCATTCTCCATGATCTGCACCCTCCTTAGTATGTATGCAGTGACATCATGTTGTTTAGATGTTGGTTTGGATGAAGAAGTACCAGTCAAAGAGAACAATGAAATGAGGACACCCGCATTCAGCATAGCTATAAACACTCCTTCGTGTGTCTTCCAGCTGGCTCAGAGCTTCGGGACAGTGCTTTTGGGTACTTCATCACGGCATGTGTGGTCATTGTTCTGGCCATCGCATCGTACTCTGCACTGGGAAAAATGGTAAGAATGCGTCTCGCTGCGAGGCGGCCGGTTATGCTTTGAATGAAGTGCGAAATGGTGCCAGGAGAGGATTCTGGGTGTTGATACTGGGAACCAAATACGGTGCAGGTGTCGGGCAGTGAGTATTCTGGTCAGCTAGCGAACTATGAGAGATACTCCACAGAGTGTTCGATTTGGCACGGAGGGAAAAAAGTCCATCCTGGTCCTTTGTGTTTCGAAATACAAATGCCGGTTCTTTCTGTAGCTTCAACTTCTGTATTGAACAGTCTTTCACTGCAGAAGCTTAATTTATCCCCATTCCTTCTTGAAGGAATTTTTCCAGTATCATATGGAGAGTAACAGTAAGCAGTCTGACAGCGACCAAGAGAACAAGATGGATCTTCTGAAGAAAGGTAAACTCCTACCTGAGGCAACAAAAGTCCTTTCCTGTGTATTGACAGGACTTCCAGACCATTCCTAAAATTTTTAAGTTGTTCCGTATATTTGTTCTTTTCTATTACCCAGATCGATTTATTAAATGGTCATTGAGCCTTTGACAAGTTGGAACGTAAAATGTTTGTACTGATTTGAGTGAGGGGGAGTAAGGGGGCACCCAGTGCGCGATCAGGAGCCGCTTACATGAAGGCATTGCGTTGGCCGTGTGTTTAATCACAGAGGACTCTGCTAAGATGGCACCAGTCTCGAGACTCACAGACGAGGAGGCCGACCAAAAGTCCTCCGTTTACACCATCTTCAGAAAGGTATAGTGGCAGCACCAACATGCGCTCTCCTTGAAGTCACCACGGCCCGTTATTCATATGTAAGCTCTGTTTGGAAACCTAGAAGATCCATAATGACTTGCATAGTGCAGAAATGTGACTGGTCACCAACTCCTTGGCCTGCAGATCTGGGTGATGGCTCTCTCTGTGTGCTTTGTCTTCACCGTCACCATCGGTATCTTCCCTGCCGTCACCATGGATGCCAAGTCCAGCATAGCCCACGGGAACCTTTGGGGTGAGTCCTGGTCCGTCACCACGCCTTATTTTTATGTATAACAAAATTCAGGAAGGGTGAGAAGATTGGAATATAAAAATACTGAATTCAACCTTAACAGATTGTCTTACATATTTCCACAGATATTTACTTCATCCCGGTGTCATGCTTCCTCATATTTAATCTGATGGACTGGGCAGGGAGAAGTTTTACCGGTGTGTGCATGTGGGTAAGTCCCGTCCTGCCCCATCATGGTGGCTTTTGGCTCCTACCTCATGTTATAATATACCTCATGTTATAATATAAATATTTCCCACAATGCACCACCACTCCTGACTTTCAAAGGACTTCCTGCACCACCAAGAAGCATAATTTAGCATTTCTATTACTCTAATACTAATAGACCATATTCATCCTATTTCATAACCACGTGTTAACCTCACGTACTGTAACACCGTAATGGTGATCTTCCTGTCCCTGGAGAAAATATGCTAATTTGACCCAACAGCGTAATATTCAAGTAACAAATGCATTCAGAGTAAGTGTGAGCCTGGTTATAATAACAAGGCAGTAACAGGAACTCATGCGGTTTCCTGTCTGCACCACATTGACAGGTAGTACTGTGTCTTGTCTATTACACAAGTTCCAAAATATAAAATCTGTTCTACAAAAACAAAGTTTGGCCCAAATCCGAATCCAGCACGTGTGTGTGATTCATCAGAGGCTTTTGCTTCTAGCCTGCCTCTCTCTCCAGCTCCCCGTCCTCCTAATGGCTCCCATATGCGTAGTAACCAGTAACACGACTCGGATGGAACTTTCCCTGTGCCACCCCTTGTTGTCATGGCAACAATTGTACATCAGACCAAACAACGTGCCTGGTGTATCTGCTACTGTGATCGTCTCGCACACATGACTCATGTAGAAAAATACGGCTGTGACACGGTCCGCATTGAAAAGGCTTATTTCATGCATGCAGCAAATTAATTTTATAGCTAACTCCAGCATCTTATAAATTAATTATTGAATTTGGCATGATTTCAGTTGCGCTCTTTTTACGTACCCAGAACCACGGTGCTGCTTCCAGCTTCGGGAATCATGTGACTGCCACATCATCTTCCCCATTATATTTGTGGGGCGAGCGTTGGCTTTGGACCACGAGCTTGGGTGGTGGGGGGGGGTCTCACACAGCTCTCAGCTGACAGGCTCGCTTGCGTTCCTCATCTCCCGTTCCACAGCCTGGGAAAAACAGCGTCCTGCTGCCCATCTTGGTGATCGCGAGGCTGGTGTTTGTGCCTCTCTTCATGTTATGCAACGTCCAACCCAGAGTGTATCTGCCCATCTGGTTTGAGCACGACGCCTGGTACATCGTCTTCATGATATTCTTCGCTTTGACCAACGGCTACTTGGCCAGCCTCTGCATGTGCTTTGGGCCCAAGTAAGTAAGGTCACGCCCACCACCCCTCCTCTAAGCTGCGGCATCTTCATAAACATCACTTTTTTGGACTCCTGTAGAACGCATTTTATTGGCTGGGGGGGGGGGGGGCCCCACACCATCCCACTGGAAATCAGGGACGGGGGGGGGGGGGGGGATCATCCTAAATTGTAAATACAAAAGTCACCTTCCAAAAGCATAAATGGTCATTTCATTGGATAAGCCACTATGTCTGTGGCATCCCATGGATAGTTTCACAGTGTCATGTCCTGGTTTCTCCTCAGGAAAGTGCTGCCGCATGAGGCAGAGACAGCTGGAGTGACAATGGCGTTCTTTTTGTCCCTGGGGTTGGCTCTTGGAGCGGCATTCTCCTTTGCCTTCAGAAACATGATCTAGACTGAAGAATTCACCCCAAAACCTCTCGATCCTTGCAGAATCGGATTAATGTCAACAGGGTCATCCTCTGACTGAGGAGAGATGTTACTAAATTTGGACTTTAGTTTCAGACAGTCAAGAAATATGGGACTTTGATATGAACGCTGAGGCATCTTGCAGTGCCTCAGATTTCACAGATGTCTTTTTTTGTGTCAGCAAAAAACAATATTAACACAATTAATTAACACAATTGAAGGTATATGGCATGGCACTCAAGATATGTGGTTTTCTCCCTGACAAAAGGGAGACGCTAATCAACCTTTTCACACTCTTAGAAAATTGTAAACTCAGAGGGACTGCTTTAACTGCCTGGTGTTTAATGTTGCTGGGAAAGTGTGATGGTAATGCAGTGCACATCAGAAAAGACATCTTATAGATGAGGACTTGTGCTCAGGAAACTGGCATTTATTCTGTAAGTGGGCTGACTGGATGAGTTTTTTTTTTTTTTACCTTACAGGCAATTATCTTTATGTAAGTCAGCAAGCAGATGTTCACTATATATTACTAATATATCTCCATTTTGTTTTTGATCAACTAATCTACACAGCCTTATATATCATTATTAGTCATATAAAGCACAAAATGAAGAGTTCCAGTACTGCCAAATGTCTGTTTGTAATGTTATATACTGTTGTTGCAATAAACGTTTTTTTATGCATTTGGTCACTTGTTAGACAGTCACATTACAAAATTAACATCAAATTAAAGTGAAATAAAAGCAAACGATATAAAGAGAAAACAGGATGTGACTGGATGTGACCCATACATGCAAATATACACGTAAATATATTGATGACACTGAAGTAAATGAATACAAATAAAAATTTGGAGGTATCATTTATTTTTTTCTGACTGGGTACAAAAACTGCTGAAGAAAAGTGTGGACAAAGCATTTCATTGTATTCAAGGGTAAGTATATATAAAAAAAATCTTCTTATTCATCATGCATTATTATATTTTGTTTACCATTATCTTATTTTCGTTGTATAATGTTACAGCTAAGCAACAATGTTGCTCTGTGCTGTAATGTTGAATGTTGGTGTCCTTGTTATTACAGAAAATCTGGTATGATCGCACACAAGCAAAAGTTTAATATATATACATATATAAGTGTTATATATATGTGCGTGTATACATATATATATTATATATATATACACACACACACACACATAGACGCTCCAATTAGACATACGAATGAAGAGGACTGTAAGTCCAAATTGTGTTCATTGGGCTCCCGTTTCTTGTCCGCAACATCAATTTTTTTTCTGCTCACCAATTCCATCTAGTACGGCTTCTGGCCGCTACTCCCGCCGCGCAGCAGCGTAGCCTGCGGACTCCCAGCATCCTAGTTTTTTGTATTTGTGTCTTCCTTTTAAAATGATGTTGAGTAACGACTTACGAACATTCCAAAGTTACGAACGGCCATTCGTAAGTAGAGGAGCGTCTGTACATATATTTTAAAACAAAAAAAATGTGTGTCATTAGCTTACCTCTAAAGATAAAGAACATGAGTGTGGCCTATTCACATAAACAGAATGGGGATCAGGAGATGCACAATCATTAGCATGCTAACGAAACTGAGCCAATATTCACCAGCTAATGAAGGCAGTAACATTATGTATGGAAATGAACACACAGAAACATTAGTAATTTTAGTGCTATTCTTCCCATTGACAACGTGATCTCCACAAACTTTGGAGATAAATCTCTCCTCTCTAGATTGCAGTGTTTTTATTTTTGGGGGGGAGGGATGCTAACGGACCTCTGCTAACGGATCGATAAAGTTGCGGGCTACACTGGAGCCGATCAAAGTGGATGAGGTTTGCACACTGGAGTCAGAACGGACAACGGGCGAGAATGCGAGCTGCTGGGGGTTATGTGGAGAATAAGGAGCCGACCTTGGTGATGCAGGGGCCATGACGGACAACACGGACGCGGAACCCAGGCTGCCCGCCGCACAGGCACAGCCGGTTTGTCACTGGCCGCTGCTGCTCTGCTTGGGTGAGCGGAGCACTGCCCAGCCGCATGGCTGTGAGTCCCCCAGTCAGCTCGACTCGTAGAGCGAGGTTAATCTCCCTCCGGGATGCTGTGAGGACGGCTGGTTCACTCCACCTACTGGTAACAGTGAGATTTTGAAACTCTATGGCGAAATTGGAGGCTGGATCAGATCGCTGGTGCAGTTTGAGCGGCTTGGTGCACACGTCGCCATGTTCCTGGCGAGGGTTGGTCGAATACCTTCTTAAGTTGGTTGATGATGATAGGGGCAGTGGGGCAGAGAAGCTGGCAGCACTGATGGCAAAGGGCAGTGGGCTACTCTCCCAGTGAGGAGCGAGATAACAAAACTGAACTGGTCAATAGGGTTTTGTTATGTCGGAAATAGAGATCACGCTGCATGGGGAAACCACGACAGTGATTGGGCAAACTCACACCACTCCAAAGGTAGGAAGTGGCAGGATGAACCAGGAAGTGAGGCAGCTGTGGTGGTGGGGGAGGGGTGGGGGGGCGATGATCTGAGGAGTCGGGACTGGGGCTGCTGTACAGGTGGCTGGCAGATCCTCCAGGGTGTCATGAAGCTCTGCTGAACCCATGAGAACCGAGGAATTCTGTCATGTGAACATCTCAGGAACTGGGGATCCAAATGCACTACAGACAGGTAGTAAAGTTCTACTAAAGTTTGAACTAGAGTTTAGAAATTCTAGAATAGTTGTGATCAGAGGTACCTGCAGGGATCAGACAGCCAGAAAGTTGGTCCTGGGCGGGGGGGGGGGTAAGGTGGCATACAGGCTGACATAGGAGAGCAAAGACACACAGTCGCCAGAGACTACCAGGTAAAAAAGAATGTATTTTAACATTAGAATCAATTCTCAAAATGAAACATTCAGATCGAAAGAACTGATATTTCCATATAGATCCGCAAATGCTTGCTAGAAAGTGCTGTTTGTGACGCGTTTCTGCCTGCATTGCACTTCCTGTAGTATTATGCCTTTATTCCTCATTTACCCTGAAATGTGAAATGTCTCAGCCAGTAGTACGACTAGCTAGATACCTATTTCTAGTCCCGTTTGACCAATAAATGAATTTATTTGACAGAAAACAAGAAAGTTTGTGGTTGTATTTGTGCTTGTATGCAAAGCTATACTAGTAACTGGTGCTTCATTTAGATTACAAACCCATTTTTCTGAATTTTTAATCTGTTGACATTCACTAGTCTACCAAGCAAAACTGTTTCCATATGTACATTACAGTGATATATTAATTTTACACAATTTCACTGTGGAATTCCAGGGAATCTTTTAGAAAAGTGTGATCAAGCAATTTCAAAACAGCAATGCTGAATGTTAAAGTCTGAAATCAGTATGATCCAGTCACTTAAAACTCTTACACTTTTCAAAATCAGACAGCTAAACTCACACAGCTTAAAGTGGTATCTCTAACTCTCCTGCTTGTGTCTGTGTGGGTGTCCTGCACTGGAATGGCCCCGCGTCCAGCAGGGTGTCTTCAGTCTTGTGCCCTGTGCTTCCTTGGGTTGTGGGCCTCCTTCACGAAGGAGGTTGTGTTGAGAGTCCACGAGAGATCCGCAGTAATGTGACCTCCTGGGGACCTGAAGTCAATGATGTCATGTACATGGGGTTTCCTTAAAGTCAGTGATGAGTTCTTTAATTTTTTTGGTCTTAATGAGAAGACTATTGGTGGAGTAATCCAGCCAATTAAAAGCAAGAATTCAGAAAAAAACCTTAGCTCTCATCAACCCTCAACAGGATGTAAAGTGAGATCATGCTGCATTTGTGTTCCTTATCTGTAAAGAAGCACAATACTGAGAGGGAAGTAAAAAAATAGATTAATAAGATTAATATCAGGTCTTGAATATAGAAGCAACATAGTGTTTGTTAAAAATGTGTGAATTCAAAAAGTGTAAAGTAATATTAGACATGCAATATATAAAAAGCATCCATCCATCTTTCGATCGCTCATGTTGACTAAGGCTGCGAGCATTTGTTTGTATAATGATTGCAATTTTAAATATATTAAATGAGGCTCATAACTCATAGCTCATTCTGATCCAGTGTGTGTGTGTAATGTGTAATCTCAGACAGTAATATTGAAGCTTAAAGTCTGAAATCAGTATGATCCAGTCACTTCAAAGCAGTAGTCATACTTTTCAAAATCAGACAACAAAACTCACACAGCTAAAAGCTGTATCTCTAACTCTCCTGCTGTGTGTCTGTGTGGGTGTCCTGCACTGGAATGGCCCCGTGTCCCACAGCGTGTCTTCAGTCTTGGGCCCTGTGCTGCACTGGAGAAGTAGTCGGATGCTGGATGGATGGACCTAATACCAAGAATTATGTAAAAGATAAATGTTTGCTTAAAATACTGAGAAGGAAGTGAAAACAATTTTCACAACAAAGTTGCAAAAGTGTATCGGTCTGATATAAATCTGATGCATCAGTTTGTGAATTTAGAAGATACAGTGTGGGTCCTCTTTAGCATTAAAGTGAATGCAATGAATGTGAAAGTGTTTGTGGATATGCAGGTCATTCACGAAGAGGCCAGCCTCAGTGCCACGTTTGATTACAGGTGGGAAACAAACAAATAAACATGAATTTAACTATGGTCAAGCCAACTGAATGGAGCAGCAGTGTGGAATATTTTAAGGGTGTTGGTTGTAAGGGAATATGTTTTATGTATGGTGAACTCATGAATGATCTGTTGATCTAAATTGTTTTATATGAATCAAACGTGACGTATCGTGATGCATATATGTTACCTCTGAATTTTATACTTCTGTCTTTGAAAAATCATTTTCATTGAATAGTATCCAGTATATTCATTTCTTCTTTATGGTGCATAATTGTTAAGATTTTCTATAAAGAAATGCGAGATCTGTGTGTAGAATGTGCCTTAATGAAACAGAAGAGAAGACAGTCTCCTGTGGACCAGGTAGGTCAGGAAGTCATTTCTGAAGAGAATCTGTGTCTCTTTGAATGAATAGGAGGATCAGACCTTGAAGAGGAGAAGATGAACTGATAGAAGCCAGAAGCTGCACATGGTGAGTTTTAGAGATGACAGCAACATGGCACCGCAGTGATATTTAAGAAACAAAGATGTATTAGAAACGGTACCTGTGATGAGCTGAGATGTTTTATGCTCTGATTTCAGAGCTTTATTTGGGAAACTGCAATAGAAAATCAAGAAGATTACCACTTGAAAATAAACATCAACAAGAAAGCCAGCAAGTCGAAGAAGACGCATTTACACTCACCAAGAAACAATGGATGACAGCGATTTCATTGTATACATTGTATACAGCATAGTGAATCTGGTAACACTTGTAATTGGGCTTCCTGTTGTATCTCTTGCTCTTTATGTCGTCTACCGTCAGTTTAAGGCCAACCATGTTGCCAATGTTTATGTGATAAACCTTCTTATTTCGGATATAATCCAGTTTTTGGGGAGGCCATGGATATACCTTACACCTGCTGGAAAACATGCTTCAGACTTTTTTTGGGGTACTTTTTTGTCTGGCATTGTTTCCAGCCTTGGCTTCATGGTGTGCATCGCTATGGAGAGATACCTTCTGATCGCCCATCCGCACTGGTACCGGTCTCGCTTCACCCTTAAGCTCTCAGCTGTAACATCCCTTGCGGTCTGGTTGGTCTCTCTAATTGCTCCCATTGGGTTGATTTTTTTAAGATATTCATTTTCCTCTCCCCCAGTGAATGATCCTTCACTACAATTGATTGCAACCCTGCTGTTAATTCCTCTACCTTTGCTTTTGTTCTTCTTTGTGGGCACATGGAGAGGCCTCTCTAAGACCATCACACTGTCCAGTCGAGAGAAGAAACGTATTTTAGCCACATTGCTGCTTGT